TCAGTTTTGCATTATTCATTTGGGTCATTGCTAATTGCACCTTAGTTTGACAATTCATTTATTATGCCTTTATTTTATCAAATGCATCAAACCAAGAACGTGAAGGAAGATGGAAACACACAACTAAATTTAGAAACCTGATAGATCTCCGGCTCTCCCTCTACTAACCTCAACCAACTGGGCTTTACTTTCGGACACCCCACCCCTGCATTCCATGGGAATGTTCATACTGAGGCTACTTTTGACTGAACAAATTATCCATTTTTCTCAGGATGATCAAACGGTCAGAAGATCAAAGATAACGGACCATTGTGAAATGAAGCTATAGAATTCAGCAAGACTTCTAGAGAACAAGAAGGTAGCAATCTTTTCAGAACTGGTGTTTATGCAGCATATAGGCTACGTCTACACTGGCATCTGGATACATGTCCACACATCTGTATGCTCCCCTTTGACAAGTGTCCAAACATGCTGTGCTAGCCACGGCTATACACTTTGTACCTGGGTATATCCACATCCACGCTGGTACACACTTCTTTGGTACACAAGGTTAGCTCAGGGGGTGGTATCCCAGGGTTCAGTGAGTCCCAGGAGACGTCCTAGGATCCGACTTGCTGGGTATTGCAGGCACCTTCACAAATCTGGCAATGGCAACTCCTGCTCAGCCCTCTCTCCTGTCCAACGTGGTGGAAAACATAGAGCAAGTAATCGATGATGTGGTTCTGCTCCTGCTCCTTCTTGCTGGACAAATGTATGTATATTACAGTATGTGACCATTGAGAATCTTGGGTGAATGGACTCGAATCTCTCTCACAAGCCAGAGATAGGTGACTGATCCACCGACACCCTATGACACAGAGATGCATGAGAGTGCCAGTGTTGTGACTGTATATCCATGGTGGACTGCTGTTTCTGGACCACTAAAACCAGTGGAATATGGTGGGGCAACATAGTCTTCGAAACTCCGGAACTTCAGAATGAAGCAGATGTTCCTGGACCTCTGTGAGGAGCCAATCCCAACCCTAGAGCAGCGAAACACGTGGTTCCAGAGATGCATACTGGTGCAGCAGCAGGTGGTTATTGCCCTCTGGAAGCTGGCAATGCCAGACAGCTACCAGTCAGTCACAAATCACTTTGGGATGGGGAAGTCCACTGTCAGGCTCATGGTAACACAGGTTTGTGAAACTATCTACACCCATCTACCCGTGGGTGGCTGCCAACGTTATAGAAATTATTGCGGGTTTCCAGACAATGGTGTTTCTCTGAAAACATCCACTCAATGTGCAGCGGCAGTCAAAAAAGCTAACAATGTTGGGAATCATTAAGAAAGGGATAGATAAGACAGAAAATATCATATTGCTCTATATAAATCCATGGTACGCCCACATTTTGAATACTGCGTGCAGATGTGGTTGCCCCATCTCAAAAAAAATATATTAGAATTGGAAAAGGTTCAGAAAAGGGATATGGAATGGCTTCCATATGAGGAGAGATTAATAAGACTGGAACTTTTCAGCTTGGAAAAGAGATGACTAAGGGGGGATATGATAGAGGTCTATAAAGTCATGACTGATGTGGAGAAAAGTAAATAAGGAAGTGTTATTTACTCCTTCTCATGACAAGAACTAGGGGCCACCAAATGAAATTAATAAGCAGCAGGTTTAAAACAAACAAAAGGAATTATTTCTTCACACAATGCATAGTCAACCTGTGGAACTCCTTGCCAGAGGATGTTGTGAAGGCCAAGACTATAACATGGTTCAAGAAAGAACTACTAGATAAATTCATGGAGGATAGGTCCATCAATGGCTATTAGCCAGGATGGGCAGGGATGGTGTCCCTAACCTCTGTTTGCCAGAAGCTGGGAATGGGTGACAGGGAATGGATCACTTGATGATTACCTGTTCTGTTCATTCCCTTTGGGGCACCTGGCATTGGCCACTGTCGGAAGACAGGATATTGGCCTAGATGGAGGCCATCAATGGCTCTCACCCCCCTATACTTTGTCCATCAAAAGTGAGTGAGTACGTCAATCAGAAAGGGTCCTCATTCAAGGTCTAGTAGACCACAAAGGCAGGTTCATTAACACTAACGACAGACACACAGGAAGGGTTCATGACACCAGGGTGAGGAGATTGGGACTGTACTTGAAGTGGAAGGAAAAGACTTTATTTCCCCAGAAATAATTGTTTCTGTATAGTGTCTCTGTGCCCAGGATCATTCTGGGGGACTCCATCTAACCACTCCTACCCTGGCTAACAAAACCCTACCCCAACACCAACAATCTGGCAAAAATGGGAATTCAACTCCACACTAAGCAGCTTCAGGATGGGAGTGGAACACATCTTAGGATGGCTAAAGGCTCATTGGTGATCCCTACACAACTGGTTGGATGCCAGTGTGGCCAATGCCATCCCCATTATTGTGGCATGCTGTGCATTTCATAACATGTGAGACTGAAGTGAATACTTTGGGACAGAGTGGGCACAGAACAGGACATGTGCATGATGGCACAGTTACATCACTGTTTTTCCTGTTCTGTTTTGTCAAATGCATAGGGAAGTTTATCCACCCTTTCTTCTCCCAGACTCCTGTTAACAAAGTTAACTTATTTCCATGCACATTGTACTTTCAACACGTCTCCAGCTTATTTATATTCACATGCCCGGACAGGGGTGGGGTTGGACTGACTGGAAGTTCTGGGAGGGACAGATAGGACCTTGTAGTTCTCTGTCCTGGGCAATTACACAACTCAAGGCACAGACTGGTGGGACCCAAAACCAAAGGGGGGGACGGGACAAAAAAAATGTACCCTCTTATCATAGCCTAAACGATGGGTCTGCACACAAGTAAAGGAAACAAACATTTATTGAAACTAGTGCATATAACGTAACACTGAACATTAAAAAGAAACAAACAAATCAGACTCCCTGAAGTACTTCACTGCCTATGACCCAGTCTCCTTGGCCTTGACCTCCCTCTCCCCTGGACAAGGAGGGGGTGGGAAACAGCTGTGGAAAACATTTGGGGGGGGTGGTGAGGACCACAAAGAGGGGCATCTCCAGCATGGCATTGGGGGGGCAGACATGTGTCAGGCAGTCTCAAGCTTATCCCCCTGCTGCACTGTCACAGATCTCCCCCGGGAGCAGTTTTGGGTACTTGTGCAGGGTGTTATGCCTGGAGTCCTGAGGCCTCCCCTCCGTCATGGAGGGTGGTGGTGGGGGGTGTCCTCCACCTTGAGCAAAGTGGGCTGCAGGAGGAGGTGCCAGCTCTCAGATACTGGCAGCAGCTATTGTAGCAAGTGGGACCTAATCTGTTCCACCACCACTTGTAACAGGGACTACAACAGGACATACTCCTGGGTCCTTTGGGGCAAGCTCCCATTCCCTGAACCACGAGTCCTGCTCTAGGAATTGGACCATTAATCCCTCCTGCCTTTGAGAAAACATTCCTCCCCCTCAACAGTCTGTTGTTTCCACTCCACAGCTCTTCGCTCCCATTCCCTCAGAAAGTCCAACTGCTCTTAGCTTCTCCTGTCGAGCCCAGTGAGCTGGTCCTCAAGTAACCTTCTCCATCTGGCCCTACTGTCCCCTTGCAGAATACATGCAGTCGCCTCAGCCAGACGTCCTGCAACTACAATCTCAAGAGCAGCGCTATGTTTTATCTGTCCTTTGAAAGCAAGTAAGAAACCCTCCCACAACTTTGCTGTGGAAGGCCAAGATATAGGCACTTTACAGCATCTGAAGAATGCTATTGTTTTATTAAGATGCCTTTTACAGACCGAGAAAGGAGCACCTTCTGAAAATGTAGGTAGTATGAACTAATGGTTTTAAAAATTGTAATGCCTTGTAAGTGTGCGACTGGGCTGATGGGGGCATTTATTTCAGGGGCAATATTAAGAGATCTCAATTTTTTCTCTTCAGACTGGCCATCTGTTGCAGAACATAGCAGTTTTGGAAGTACACCTCTACCCCGATATAATGCAACCCGATAAACATGAATTTGGATATAACGTAGTAAAGCAACACTCTGGGGGGGCGGGTCTGCGCACTCCAGTGGATCAAAGCAAGTTCAATATAACGCAGTTTCACCTATAAGTTCTGGGTTTCCATGACATAGATCATCTCCAGACATTTTATCTACTTTCACTATTTAATAAATGACATTTCATTAGATTCCCATTATCCTTTTCAAGAGCCAGGCTGCTCTGTGGCAGCAATAGGTTGGTGCATCTCAATAAGATGTAATTGACAACTTACTGAAAATTCAATTAAGCCATTTGATTAGTTTGAAGTTAGTATTAATAGACACTTAGTGTCAGAGTAAATTAGTGGCCCACCTTTACCTACATGTGACCTTGAACTTAAAAGCACATCGGATGCAAAATGCGTTTGTTACATGAAAGGGACAATTAAAAATAGCATAAATTAACACTGATTTGGGTCATCAGTGGAAGTTATGGTTAAGTCACTGAGTCATTTTCTGCTCCCAAGACTTTAATACTATCCTTTCTTACGTATAGTGAATGCAAACAGATGAATGCAAGTAAATTTGCAAACATTTATGATGCTTCCTGTGACATTTATATTTAATGGAATGAAGATCTAGAATTTTCCTGGTGTTTAGCTGTTTCTTTGAGTAGACTGCAGTAAGCCAGTTTGAAATTTTGGGTTGGTTCATGTGTTTGCTTTATTAAAGCTTTGGCACGAGGGAAAAAACAAAACACCAAGCAGGGTTCTCTAGAAGTGTTACTTTAAAACAAAGACAAACATATAAATATACATAAAATCAAAAATTGGGTTTTCAACTAGGAACTCAATTTATTTTAAAAAGGATTAAAATGCATGTATCATTCAATTGTTAACCACAAATGTCAACAAGTTCATATTCGATATACCATGTTGGAGAACCAGAGACAAATATAGTTTAATTTTTGAAGTGTTAACACCGGTTTTTTGGCTATTCACTGTGCTGAGCAAATAACTGGAGTCAGACTGATATCAATTCACAATAAATTTATTTTATGTGAGGAAAGAAGCTTGCCATTAATGAAAAATTCAGTAGAAAACAGTGCCCTCCTGCTTTCGGTCTAGATTACTCAAAAGTAGAAGCTTGGTATTAGTGAAAACTTCAGTAGAAACAATACTGTAGGAAACATTCTTGGCACATGAAAAAAAAAGCTTTAAACTCAAATTAAATCTGAACAGAGTATTTACCATGCAACAATACTGGCAGAAGAGCCAGTTTCTGATGACTGGTATTCTTCTCCCTTAAGACAATAACATGGAAGACACTTAAACCTGCTTTATATAAACTTAATTGTATATAAATATGGTGTCACCATTACTGGCAGTCTTTATTCAGGCCAGCCATTTAGTTTAGCAGTTCTAAGTAAGTAATAGGCACTTTGCCCTTCTGATTTCCCCTTTCACCCATCAGCCAGTCTGAATCCATACCAGGGACACTGTACACTGTGATCACCTAAAAACAAAAATACACCATTAACATCTGACCTAGAATACATATTCCTGGCAATAAAGAACAACCTATTTCCAAAGGCTCGGATTTCTGATATTAGCTACATGCATATTTTTAAAGGGCATATTTGACATGAGCTTCCATAGAGCAGTAAGCAAATGTTTGCAGAAACTATTACTCATGATCAGTAGGAGAGAGTTTGACAAAGTAGAAAGTATTTAAAAAGGCCTGAGTCCCTTTTCGTATTTAGATGAAACCTTTGCCTTGTTATTGCTTTTATACATGTTGACTTTATATATAAATCCTCGATACAGCAGTTTCCCTTAATACTGATAGTTCCTTGGCAACTTAAACTTCCTCTGCAATTTAAAGTTCCTTCAATCATAAAAATGTAGGACTGAAAGGGTCCTCGATATGTTATCTAGTCCAGTCCCCTGCATTGAGGTAGGACTAAATATTACCTAGACCATCCCTGACAGGTGTTCTTAAAACCTGTTCTTAAAACCCTCTAATGACAGAGATGCCACAACCTCCTTAGTAATTTGTTCCAGTGTTTAACTACCTTTACAGTTAGAAAGCTTTTCCTAATGTCTAGCTTAAATCTTCCTTGCTGCAATTTAAGACCATTGCTTCTTGTCCTAGCCTCAGAGATTAAGGAGAACTATCTCTCTCCCTCCTCCTTGTAACAACCTTTTATGCACTTGAAAACTTATGTCCCATCTCAGTCTTCTCTTTTTTAGGGTATGTCTATACTTATCTCTGGGTCCGGCGGTAAACAATCGATCTTCTGGGATCGATTTATCGTGTCTTGTCTAGACGCGATAAATCGATCCCGGAAGTGCTCGCCGTCGACGCCGGTACTCCTGCTCCGTGAAAGGAGTACGTGGAGTCGACGGGGGAGCCTGCCTGCTGCGTGTGGACCCGCGGTAAGTTCAAACTAAGATAGTTCGACTTCAGCTACGTGAATAACGTAGCTGAAGTTGCGTATCTTAGTTCGAAGTGGGGGGTTAGTGTGGACCAGCCCCAGACTAAACCAACCCAATTTTTTTCCTCCAATCTTTCCTTATAGGTCATGTTTTCTAATCCTTTAATCATTTTTGTTATTCTCGGGACTTTCTACAATTTGTCCATATCCTTCCTTAAATGTGGCACCCAGAACTGGACAATACTCCAGTTGAGGCCTTATCAGTGCTAAGCAGAGTGGTAGAATTATTTATCATGCATCCTTACAACAATTCTGCTAATACATCCCGGAATGACGTTTGCTTTTTTTTTTTTTTTTTTTTTTTTTTTTTTTTTTTTTTTTTTTTT